TCCAATCCTTACAATCCAAAATCCTCCGTAAAATCCTTAATGCTCAATACTTTGTCACAAATAAAACCATTCATGAAGACCTGAATGTACCATATGTCGCAGATTTAGCTCGAGCCAGATATCTATCCTTTCATGATAAACTTCAGTCCCATCCAAATCCGCTTGTTTCCACTCTTGCTTCTTCCTCGATCCCTGATAATCCTCCTAGGCGTCTGAAAAGGAGATGGCCTCGTGATCTTCTTACTTAAAATTATTTAGGTAGTGCTACCACTGGGTAGTATCTTTTCAAGCCTGTACATGCCATTATTTATAATTTGCGCATATTTACTAGTTGTATTTGTATACAGTTGTAAATTTCATTAAATAAAAAAAAAAAAAACATTTTATATTTCATATAAAATTCGGCTTGTTAATGTTTTCGCTGCTATTGTGTGGTCTAAAACACACACCTTAGTTGTTGTTTTTTAAAAACAAAACTATGTAGATAGTATGAATAATTGTCAAATCAGCATTAGGAATCTATCGGTTAGGTTTATAGTTTTGAGTTTTTAAAAAAACAAATATTGGAAATAGAATTTCCAAGATTCAAAACGGCACATCTCAGCAATGAATGGCCTTATTTCAATTTTTTTTTTTTTTCGTTTTATAGGGAAAACATCTTATCTCACTATTATATAAAACATTTTTTAGTCGCGGCCATATTTCATTTTACAAATAAAAAGCAGGACGGACCCGTAACGAAGGCTCCACACTTCTCATTCTCAGAATAATTTCTCCCTTATTATGGTCAAAAATTGGAAGTAAGAATAATTATAATGATATATTAATATAAATTGGCAATAAGACGCGATGTATAATTCAGATTAAAAATTTGTCCAAACTGACGTTTTGCTCCGTTTATTTTATGTAGATAAAAAATTATACATATGTAGATGAAAAATTATATGAAGTATAGAGAACATATAAATTACAGTTATACGATTTGAGCAACTTAGTAGTAAAATCAAACGAACAGTTGTAAAATGGGATTTTGTCCGAAGTTGAGCGGACAGGAATTACCTCCCTATCGGTGCTGAGAAAATACGGTTGCGCTTAAGCAAAAGTAATACAGACAGATACGCGAGTGGATTTTTTAATTCAACGGAAAACCTCTTGCACGAATAAAAAGCATTAGTTTTGTTAGTGCCAAACTAGCCAAACTTGCTGATTTCGAAAAACTTTGCCTTGAAACTAAACAACGTAAGAATGCAAAAGTAAAGTAAAACCTTATTGGTTTTATAATCTTTACTATTTGCACATTTAGTATATTGACAAATACAACTGGCCTGGAATTAGTTTTTTTTTTATTCTAACAGTCAAGTAGTTATGTTATATTTGTATTTTTAAACGATTTATCTTTTTTTTTTTAATGACTATACAGTTTTAACATTTTTTTTGTAGGATGTCGGTGCCGGCTGGAAGCAGACCTCAGTCAACTTCGGTTACTACTATACCGAAACCAAACCAGGTAATTATGGAACGGGTTGTCTAGACTAAAAATTAAGTGCTTCAAAATTACTCTGATTTATATGTTAATTCTTGGGGCAGTTCAGTCAACCTGGATCAACTCTCAACTTTAGAACCCAGGTTCGAGTCCCGGTTGATATTTATTCTGTTATGGCAGTAGATTACCATGTCAGAAAGAAGTCAAGATATCTGTAAATTGAGTATCGGCTATTTGGAGTGTAATCTTTGGCCAAGAAGCAATAATTCCTTCATAATTATTGAACCCTGCAACATTCATGAAAGTTGTATAGGTTGTTATTTGTCAGTTGAAAATCTCCAAAAATAAATAGTAATCAACCAAGATTTCTATCGAAACCACACAACCCCGAATTTATGTTTATTTTTTTATTAATCCTTTTTTATTCATGTGCAATCCTGTTCCCATGACCTTGAATTTCGTTCCTGACGTCACTTCATGGTATTTTATGATAAAACAAGTGTTGCTTACCAGTGTATGCCCTAATCTGTTATGATGGCACCATGGGCGACCTTTCGATTTTGAAGGTAAACATGTCGTTATCTTTCTTTGAAAGTCGCATGCCACGCGATGGAGAAACTAACAGTTATAGTGAAGCCAACATAATGTTTATCCATTATACATGTTAAAAAAAATCTATAATTGACCTCAATTTGAACACTCTAAGGGCCAGTTTTTCCAACTCAGTAAAGCTTAGAGTAAGCGTTATCTAAGATTAAACCAAGTTTAATCTTGATCGGTCGACCTTAGAAAACTTGGTTTAATCTAAGCTTTACTGAGTTGGAGCAACTAGCCCTAAATCTTTTTACTGAAACTGTTCATGGGACTTGGGATTCACATTACCACTTTTACGATAACTCATCAAAGATACTAAAGTTCCCAAAATCTATAATCGCTGTTATAAATTTATAAATCCATAATATCCACATTTTCGAATCTATTCCATCATCCCCCAGAAAATGAAACGAAAAAAAAAATGAAACTACTTACTTTAACAAGTGCAGATTTAATAGTTTGTAAATTTTCCAAATTTTGGACAAAACTTTTATTACATTATTATTAGAATTTCCATCTCTTTTTGTTTAGGTCGGTACAGTAATACTGTATGGAGTACCCATCGTCTCCCTGACAATGGACAACCAGGAAAGACTCTGCCTGGCCCAGATATCCAACACCCTCCTGAAGACTTTCTCTTACAACGAAATCCACAACAGGCGGGTTGCCCTGGGTATCACCTGCGTCCAGTGCACGCCTGTACAGCTGGAGATGCTGAGGAGAGCTGGAGCGATGCCTGTTTCTTCCAGGAGGTGTGGTTAGTGTCATTCATTTATAGCTAATTTATTTTATTTCACTTTTTACTTTACCAATTTATTTATTAAGAAAATCGTTAACTCACGGATTTTGTATTAATTTTTTTTTTTTTTTTTTTGTTTATTGATAAATATTACAATCTGTCTCAATAAAGGACTTTTATAATAGAGTTCTGAGAGCACATTCACACCATATTTACAAATTAAAAAAAAAATAAGCTAACTTCAAATAATATAAAGCTACAAAAGAACAAAATAAAATATCATAGTGAGAAAAAAAAAAGTAATGAAAATAAACATCTTAGACGCAGGTATACCTATTTACACTATTTACAGTCGGCCATAGGAACTCCGAACCATACTTATCCCCCTACACGTGGAGGGAAAGCAAGGCTTCAGGAGATCCCTGCGCTTCTTCCTCAACCATTTCACTGGCATTGAAAGCCAGATTTCGGCCCTGGCTCCTGGTCTAGAAGATAGTCCTGGCCTATTAACACACTGATGGAGAGTTGTGTTAGAAATTATGGTTTTCTCTTTTCTAAGTTTGTTCTAACCATATATCGACCACAAGTAAACTGTTATTGTGGTAGCGTTTGTTCAAAAATACAACATGCCTCAGAACACTCCTGCCCACTAAAAGAAAACAATAGTAAAATATGGCAGTCGATGTGGGCCCAAATTCCAGCTAATAGATTGAAACTAATAAAGAAAAGTATGGAACCATCCAGTCTTAGCAGACGCGGGAGAAGTGTTGATTGCTTGCTTTATGATAGAACAGAGCAGGCTCGTACGATTTCACCTAATAACAAGGGAAGTAAGTACCTATGAAATTTTCCCTGAAATACACATTTTTAAAGTATGTGAAGAACTATTATAGTACAATTTTTAACCAGCTAGGAATTCGACAATACATAGTATGTATATATAGATCGGGAGTGGATAACTCAGATATTTTTTTTTTTATTCACACCTGTCATAGTGGTAATGACAACCAGTGAATGGGAGGTCGATTGGAAAAAATAATGTCATGAAAGGCATTACGGTGATCAGTGCCCAGCGGCACCTCACTCGGCGTGATATATATCTACATTAGGCGAGGAAGTCCCTCATCCAGCTCCTCTTCAGTCTCCTACAGACGTTACCTGGTATATTCGTAGTGGCCATGTCATTTATAAGTGTATTAGGATGTCCTTGTAAGTTGTCATGGAATCGTTTGTAATGAGTTCGTATGTGTTCGTTAACAGTCGGCATATGGAGGTCAGTATGTAAGGTTATGTTGCTAACGTACCAAGATGCTTTTGTAATTGTTCTAAATGTTTTTGCTTGAAAGATTTGAAGTTTGTTTAAGTGAGTCTTTTTAGCAGTTCCAAATATCTGTGATGCGTAAGTCCAAATAGGTTTTAGTAAGTAATTGTATGTGTTCAATTTCTGTCTAAGTTTTAGTTTTGAATTTTTCGAAAGAAGTGAACTCAGAATTCTTAAGCGTTGATTTAGCGTTTTTCGTTTCTTGATTATATGTGGGCCCCACGTCATTTTTCTGTCAAATGTCAGACCAAGGTAGTGAACGGTGTCAGTCTGTGGAATCTGTGCATTGTCAAGGAAAACTGGAGGGCATGTTTCATGTCGAAGAGTAAATGTGATGTGCTGTGATTTAGTCGGATTTTCCAAATTTTTAACCAGTCATGTAATCTTGTTAAATACTATTGTAGGGTCTGTGAGGCATATGTTGGATTTTTGTGTCTTGCTAAAATTGCTGTGTCGTCTGCATATATTTTACATCCTGAAACTATATAAAACAAAAATTCCTTTCCGGGTACAAGAAAATCGTATTAAACCGTTATATGTAGCGGCATATATCCCAACGTACTTCAGAAATATAGAGATCAATATATAAAACAGGTACGATTTTTTTGTATAGGTTGAAAAAAAAATTCGAAATAATTAATAAATAGGTAGATATGATGTTATATTTATATTTTTAATAGATATTTTAGTATGATTTTACATAATTAAGTTTTAATCATTCATTGATCGATATTAAGTACAGCAGAATCTAATTTTCTTTTTTTCACCCTATAGAATGTTCTAGATGAGATATTAAAATCCATGTTAACTTTGTTCTTATAAGAGATAAACTGAAGCCAATAAAAAAAAAGTAGAAAGCTATTATTTTGTGTTATGAAAAATAGGGTTTTGTCTTAATTGTTAAAGGTAAAAAACAAAAACACATCCTTTTCTCAAAATTCTATTTCAAATTCACTCATTTCTTTATCAACTTTGGTCTTATGAGTTTCCACTGATTTGTGATGAATTCAAGTATTTGTCCATGTTATGATATCACTTGACCCATATAACTGGAAATTCCGTATTTATTTATGGAATCTTCTATCTGGACAAAGTAATCTTACAACCCATTATTTTAGTGACCTTTCTTCCTGCAACTCAACTCACCTTACAACTAACTCTTCTCTCTACCCCATCTGTCTTCTGAAACTCCCTTCTCTGTTATTACTTTTGTAAACTAATATTCCAGGAATGATCACAAGAAGGGAAGCCGAGAGGCTTTGTAAGTCCTTCCTAGGGGACAACTCTCCTCCTCGACTTCCTGAAGATTTCGCCTTCGCAGTGCACCATGATTGTGCGTGGGGCTGCAGAGGAGCATTCTTACCCTCCAGGTATATTTTATTAACAATGGATGTATATTATTAACTGTTAAAAACTTTAATTAACGTATAAAAATTTAAAATTTCAGATATAATTCCTCCAGAGCCAAGTGTATCAAATGTTCAACCTGTGGGCTCTTCTTTTCACCCAACAAATTCATATTCCATTCCCACAGGACAGGTCCCGGGGCTAAATATGTTCAACCGGACGCTGCAAACTTCAACTCTTGGCGTAGACACATGAGGTAAGCTGTGTATATATATATACACATATATATATATATATATATATATATATATATATATATATAACTTTTTAATCCGAAAATTCATAACCAAGTCGAAATGTGCCTCCCCCCTTAAAAATTTTGATGGCGCAACTTGTGCCATGAAACCCCCTTGTGGGCACCCTTGGCGTCATTCACTCCTTGGCTTTATTTTAATGCTGAAAAACAGGAAACTCATTTATTACTAACTAGATACCTTAGAAATGAAGTAACAAATGATAATAAAAAAAATAAAAATCTGTACTTAAAACATAAATTTCTTTTAAACAAAATTATTTTTTTATTTTAAACGATATACTGTTTTTTGTTTAGAAATTCTTAAGTGTTATATAAACTCTTTACCTTTTTTATATACCTAATGTATTAATTATATTAACAAGCACTTTATACTAATTCTTCTAAAAAAATACTAATTGTTTCGTACTCCCAGTTCTATCCAAAGTTTTACATTTTCGTCAAATAATAAAATTTCTTATCGAATCCTAAACATAAAGAAGTTGTTCATTTATTCCTGTGTAAAAATGTTATTTCAGCTTATTAATTATGAGTCGCTATAGGAGTCCATTAAAGAATAGATAGAAATAAGTAACTTTGAGCGAGAACATACTTACACAGATGAGAGAGTTTGCTAACTGGTTCAGAAAGGTAAATGGCTGCAGGGACCAGCTGCCCACTGTTGGGCCGTCATAGACACGGTTCAACGGCTTCAGGATGGAGTACCGTCTAAGAATCCGCCAACTAGTTTCTTGTCCCGAGGGATGGAGGTCGCGCTCCTACCCATCCCATATCGGCTAGAGGGCTGTTCACTTCTTTAGGATTTTTACTTTCCTACCGCTATTAGGTAAAGAAAGTATTGTAATCTGGTAAAATTCTATGCGTGGTTTTCAAAGTTTATGGCATAAGGAGGGTTTGTTCGAGATGTCCAATCAAACCTATTCTAACCAGAGCGGGCCAACCATCAAATTAATTTGAATATTGAAAAAAATTATGGCGAAAAGTAAATTTTTTTACATTGAATACTTGATGGTTGACCGTTGTATATTATTGAATCCGGAGTGGCGGTCATAAAAGGACTAAAATAGTAGGAAATGTATTTTATTTAAATCCAACGCTTCGACCCGACTTTGCAGGTCTTCTTCAGGGCTAAAACGAACAAGATACAAAAGGATATAGAAAAATGTGGAAGTTACATAATATTTTGATAACAATTACAAATAATGTTAATAAACCTATTAAAATTATAAACAGTGTAAATATGCACGGTTTTCAACAGATTTGTTTCACAGAGCTCTGTGTTCATAATCCATGTGTGTGCATTTTCACACATGGATTTGTCTGTAGTGCCATGATTATAATTTGACCGGGTGAATCTTTTTTATTTTATTTTAGTCTTTATGTTTTATTTTTGTTTATGCTACACAATTTTCATCGTGCGAAAAGTGTCATTGAAGTATCTGATCCTAAGAAAATGGCTTTAAGAAATATTTTAGCCATCAATCATCTGTTGGATATTTTTTTTTTAAGATATCTCAAAAATCGGTAATCGGGTGGAACTTCAGGTGTACATTTTGCTTTCTCACTACCGAAGGTTCTAGTGCGAAAGGTTAAAAAAAATTATTTGCTCAGATTCGAAAATTTCCACTCGCGTTTTACGTTTCAGACGTCTGTCTGCATATCACCTACTATTTTTCATCCAACTTTCATGAAATTTTTAGGGATTGTGCGGGTAGGTGCCTAGATGATCCCATATCAATTTTACCAGATTCCATTCAGCACTTCTGCTTACGCACGCGCAAACGTATTTTTTTAGATATACTAATATTTCAGAAACAGCTCGTTCGATTTGGCTCAAAGTTGAATAAAAAGTAAATATTGGTGAAAAAATAATGTACTGTCAATTATATTGAATTAAGTCCACTACTTTCTCTCATATATGCGCAAATGTGTTTTCTTGATACGTCTATATTTCTAAAACCGCCCGTTCGATTTGAATGAAATTTGGAGGGAAGTTAGGGATTGGTAAACAGATAATCAAGTATGTATGAATTTTATCGAATTCCGTCCACTACTAAAAAAATATTTCCGCTTGCAGATCAGGAAATTTATTATTTAACACGCCTATAGTTTGAAAACTGCGCGTTCGATTTGACTCAAACTTAGAAGAAATTTGTAGAATAGTATAGAAATTACCCTATATCAGATTCATTGAATTCCATTTAATAATTAAAATTAATATAAATAATTGTTAACAATATAATGTCTGTGAAATGTGGAAGGTTTTGATCATCTGGAGTGGGAGTTAGGTTAACACAATATTTTTATGGGGTTATAAAATTTGAGGTTTTATTCAAGAAGTTAATTCATACTGTATTGTTTGATCGATACCAAACGAAACTGGCATGACGCTTACTGCCGTTACTTAGATTTCGTGTAATTTTCATCTTCCAGAGATTTTATCCTCATACGAAGAATGTTAGACCTTGTAATATAGATATTTTTTAGACAATGAGAACGGTGAAGAAGCTATACTGACCTTACTTGGCAGATGTTTTTAACTGCTTAAAATCAACATGAAACTTATTGTTTACACTTAAAGTCCGACCTGTCCATCACTGGGTGCCCTGTCCATACCTGGTGTGTTCACCCAGGTATTACAAGTTGATGAATCTACAATGTTGTTTGCAGATTAAGCGGCAGCCCTCCTGAGGAAGTAATTCACGCTTGGGAGGACGTCAAAGCCATGTTCAACGGCGGCACTAGGAAGAGGTTGCTGGGTTCCTCCAAGCCGAGGAAGAGGCAAGAGTCTCCTCCAAGAGTGCCGCCGCTGGACTACGTCTGGAAGCCGCTCTACCCGATGTGGCTGCCCCCGGCACCACTTCTTCTGCCTCCAGCGGCCGACAGGTCTGCCTTCAGCCCGGTCTGTCCTGCCCGAGAGCCGAGGGCCGCTTCCGACTCAGAGGAGACGGTGGACATCGAGACCTGCCCTGAGGACGACGTGAAGCCTTTCTGGAGTCCAATCTCTCAGGTTAGTGTAAGCTTTTTTGATCTCTATTTTTAATTGACCAAACTTATTTATGAAGAAATATTACAATCTGTTTCAATTAAGGACTTTATAATAGTGTTCAATGTGCACATTCACACTCCTTGTAAATAAATAAAAATAAATTAAACAGTAAAATAATATAACTAAAACTAAATGTATATAAACAAAAAAATAATAAACTAGTCAAAATAACAAATTAAATACAAACATACTTTTACACAATATTTAAAAAAATCACTCATTCAGGGAAATTCCAAACCAAGTCTTTTCCCACCCTCGTAGAACAAAAGCCAGGACTCTAGGAGTTCCCAGCGCCTCTCACTCAACCACGTTAATGGTATTAATTTAAAAAATAAAGCATTAAGTATTCCCGTATCTTAAATTTATAAATTATAAATTTATAAAGCATTTAAGCCTGTGTTTTAATTCAAACAAATGGGCCATCCTCTAGGCTAAAATATTCTCTATTTTTAAAATAATTTCCTTACTTTAATCTCATGTAATAATCTTGTTCATCCTCGCTACTTTAAGTGAGAGAGAGAGATGTAGTAAACTAGATTTTTTATCTAGGCATGCATATTCACAGGCAATTTTTTTTTTTTTTTTTTTTTTTTTTTATCCATTTTTATATTACTAATTTTCTAGGCGACACTAAAGAGAAAAATATTAGACTTAAGTCCGAGGATTTTTGCCAAAGAGCCCCAGAAAATATTTTATACAATTTTAATATGTCTTTATATTGTTGTTTAAATAGATTTTGTTTTTTATGGAATAAGAATTACATATTTCTGATTTTATTAAACTATTAAACTAATTCAAAGGCTTATTAAATTACCAAAACCAACAGACGCTTCAATTAAATAAGGGCAAGTAAATTCAAGGAACAAAGATTCAAATTTGTTTCTTGTGTCCTTTAAAACTTCTAAATAAAAAAAAAAATATAAATTTTAGGACTTGATTTTATTGAATTTCTTTTTCACGTCGTTTAATAAATCACTAACAAATCTTCAAGATTCATTTATATTAATTGAACATCACTACAACCGTTGAAAGCCTAAATTATTGATCTTCCAAACCATATCAACCTTCATATTTTACGCCTTCTTAAAGGATAAGTAAAAACCCAAACATTTTTTATTTGTATCTATTAATTTTCGTGAGTATAGCGTGAGTCATGTTGAAGTTTTTGTAGTTTTATAAAAAATTATCATTGAAATCAATGATTCCACGTCCGTAACCATCCCTTGTAAATCTAAAGTATTGATCAATTTCTAGGTTATGAATTAATTTAATTAACGAACCAAGTAAGCAATGTTCATTCACTAAAATCGAATGACGTGTGTATGAATTAACGCGGATACGACAGATTGTTGAGAGCGGCTTTGAGAGCGACGTGTCCCCGACAGATTGAAGGTAATTACACAGGATGGCACAGATTGCCTCGCCGTCCTATCTACCAATCTCATAATTATTGACTCTCTGCATTATTAAACCTACCCTCGAAATCCTCGTGTGGCACGAATCCTCAACCCTATCCACTCTGTATATATATATATCTACCCATCTATAGGTATCGGGGTATAATCTATCCGTGAGATAGCGATCTCATGATATTTTTATTTTATTTTAATTCTATGTCGGAGGTTTGTTGAATACATATTGAATAGTTCGTTTTATTTGCCAACTACGCCTTTGTCGAGATTTTTACCCCGCTGGATATCATAAATTATCAATTTTTACTGAATGTGATATATTTAATTATTGAATTATATCTCGAGAATTTATGACTATTGAATAGTACCTGACTTAAAATTTACGAGTTCTATCAAGTAATAGTAATTAATTACTTAAAATTAACCAGAGCTGGCGTTCCACAGGGGAGTGTAAACGGTCCTTTATTTTCCTAGGTCTCCGCGTAAGACATTCTATAACACAGAATTATAATTATTATAATAAAAATAAAAACATTTCCCAAATGTTTCCCAAATCGGCGAGTACGCCAATGACACATAAATTTTATCGTTAGTTATTCTGAAATGGTATTAAAATACGTACATGATGGCCTTAAATGATATCGGAAGCAACGGTAAATATTTCAGTACATTAATTAAAATATGGTCTAGTATTTTATGTAATTTAATTATACTGATATGTTAATATCCTCACTCTAACGTGCAATGTTTTGTCTGAGATCACTGAGAAATATTTTAAAATATACTTGGTTAGCAAAATCAAGGACTAATGTTCTCCAAAATACATCGAAGAACGGTAAAATTTAGATATTGATTATTATAAGATTTTAAGAGAAAAATATTTTCTCTCTAGCCAGTTATAAAATTATTTTTTTAATTACTGCTTTTATGAAAAATATTCGTGTAAACGTCAAAAAAAAAAAAAAAAAACGAAAAGCCACGTCCCTTTAAAAAATATTAAAATGATTGTTTTTTTAAGTTATATTTATAATATTTAAATTTATGTAATTATTATTATTTATTAATGTTTTCTTATTTTTAATTGCAATCTTCTCAGATATTATAGAAAATATTAAACAAAATTATCCATTATTGGTTTCAATTAAATATATTTTTTGAGGACTTCAGTGTAAAAAAAGTCATAATAAAAGCCACTCATTCCGCAGTTTTCACCCATTTCTAAATACCCCTAGCTAAAATTATAAAAGATAGTAAAAAAAAGTTTTAAATAAATATTAAAGAAAATTAATGAGGAAGTTTATGCCATGAAATATTGAAAATTTTAAAAGTATTTATTTTTCTTTTGATGTGTAATGTATTAACGGTTTTCGTATATTTTGTTCTATAATCTTACCGTTTGCCATGAATTTTTGTTTTCCCAAATCTATCAGCTTAAGTCGATTCTTTATCTTGAGCTTAAGTGATTCTTTTAATTTTTTTTAGAAAACAAAAATATGAAAAAATAATTTTTTATTATTTATGAGTTTTAAAATCCTATTTTATAATTGTATTAACTCTGTTCTAATTTTAAGAAATGTCTCACGGAGGTCTTATGCTGAACTTTATCCTTTTCAATTGGACAGAAATTTCATGAAAAACATCATGAAAATGTTTATAACAAAATTCAGATTTTTTTTTGGATTTTTTATTGTATTTCAGTTAGTATCTTAGAAATTTTAAATTCTCACCAATAAGTAAGAAAATATATTGAGAAATTTCAAATAAAAATAATACACTCCTTGAGTTATTCTTAGTCAAATAGCGCACTTAACTTATTGTATATGTATATAAAGTTTTAAGTCTCAATAATTAATTTATTTTTTTTAATAAATAACAATTATAAACATACCTGTAAAATTTATATTGCTTCTTTGAACATTTTTATATATTTGTAATCATAAAAATTATCGAGGGATATAGCGTATACAATTCTATCAAGGTAATATATAACTAATTAATTTCGGATTTGAAAGATCCGAAAGGGAAGAGGTGAAATAGATAGTCGACTTAAAACTCATTTCACATATCTTTGAAAAAGCCTCCCCTCAAATCCGTTTTCCCTCCTTTCCTCGATCCAAAGAGACGGAGCTTCAAAAGGTTTGGACATACTTATTCCGAGCGGGATTTGAGGAGAGAAACCTTCACAGATCCGGCCCTAACCCAAATTACCTTTTCAGTAAAAAGGACTACTTGCGTTTAGCTTTTGCATCCTTCGGAGGGGCAGATCGGTCCCTTGTATAAGTTGCCCCAAAGCGGTCCCTGCCTGCGGGGAGGGCTCAAACTTCTTTTCCTACTTCAAAGGTGGCAGTTGCTCTTCACAAGGGAGGCCTCTTCAATAGCCGCGTTGGATCTGAAGAATCGAATCTCTGCCCTGATTGGAATTAGTGACCGAAATCTCATCCGTATAATGCGAAATTAGCAATGGATGGTAAATACATAGTTAAACCTTGTTCAGTCACGGAATCTCGCATAAAAATACAAATAGTTTGCAATATTAAAATATTCTGTCGAAAAATGATTAAATTAAAACAGAAAGAAAGATAACAACTATTTTTAAATTGAATTTCCTCAATTCGATCAATATTGGCAGGAATGTCTCAAGGTTCACTATTGGTTTCTTTACTCTATATTATATATAAGCATGACATCCTCAGTAGCTCTAAGACATTCACTTCTATCCAAATGTATACGTAATACAGGTTCTGGTACATAATAACAAGAGTTTTTTTTTAGTTAATCTAGAACATTTTTTTATTTAAATATCATCAGTTTTACACGGTCCAGGTACAACACTGTATTTGTTTTGTATAAGTTAGTTGTGACTCTAGTTAGTGATGAAAATAAAGTCACACAAATAAAAACTTATTTACGTATTATAAGAACTCACAAGAGTTTACAGTCAGCGGGACCCCAATTTCGACCAAATTTTTTACGTTCGCCCCAAGAGGCCTTTAGAGCAGAGAAGAAAAAAATATTAGATATCATTTCAAACAAATTTATGCTAATTATTTTTTAATTTTTCTGTGCCCGGTGGTTTTAGGTTGTTATACCTATCAATTTTTTGTGCAATATTTTAGTGCAATGCAAGAAAATATGGTCTTTGAGTTATAATTTCTGTATGAGCTATAATTATTAAAGGAGTTTTAATGTATCGAAAAGATGCTTCCTATTAAGTAGGAATGAAAATTTTTGTTATACAGACGGAAGTTACAATCATTTTTAATGGCCTTTAGAATTCTTAAATATGAACTTTAATAAAAAATCTAAAAAATATCAATTTGTGTACTTGCTTTTTTGGGGGGAGGAGGGGGGAGCAAAGGCAAAAAGAAATAACATCATTTTTTTTCTCGGCTTCTAAGGCCCATTGGAAGGAACGCCAGGACATTTGTCCAATATTTTGCTATGTAAAATCACCAATAAAATGTTAGTTGAAGTCGGTGATCGACTAGGCAATGCCCACTCTACCCTTGCACTAATCAACTTTGTCATATAGTTCTACACATATATGTCGACACATTAGCTTAGATTTCCTAATAATCCTCTTTATTCCCAATTTTATATTAATTATTATATATTCGCTTCATACCAAAATTTTTCATCTATATCAGTAAAACAAAGGATCTTAGGTATCGATACATGCTTGCATGCTGGAAGTAAGACCCCGACGGTATAGTTTAATCTAAATTTGGTCCTTTAAATAAAGACAACTAAAGTGAAGGTTTAAGCAGCAAAGGTAACTTGAAATAAGGTCACATTTATTTAGAGTGGCAAAAAAAAAAAAAAAAAACTCTACCCTTTTGTGTTTAATCTAAAGTTAGCCTGGAACTGAAGTACTCCCGCCCTTAACGATGATGATGCTCCAGTTAAACAATGAGCCGCTGTAGCCCATAAAAATAGAGGGTGACCTCTAAGTAATGATGTAGAGAACTTAATCATGGGGAGGGCAGGATCTTATTCTCTGTAAGGAGGAAATGTCACCTCCCGACCTTTCCTTCCCCTTTCTTGTCCCTCCCTCAGGGCTGCCGGACCCTTAATTGTAAATGCCACTCCAGATGTGTTTAATCCCCTGTCCAGTCTCCTGAGGGCGCTCCGCAACCCCTTCCATTACATCCCCAGCGAAAGAGTTAATGATTTCCTTTTACTCCTTGTTTCTGGGTCACATCAATAAATATAGGTCTCGTCGAATTTCGAATATAATAATATATAATAATCTTTGTGGTCTTCCTCATAAACATACCTCCTTTCCAAAAATATTCCAGATTTGGCACTGTATTGCAAGTCATTGGACGGTGTCAAAAGTGTACTTTTGTCAGTTTTTAATGTATGTGGCACCTCTAGAGCGCCTCTGAATTGAATTACAGGATTAAAATGTGTATGTGAATTGAGTTGGAGTTCGAAAAATGCCTTTTGGGATTTCAGCGGTTTTTCTTCCATTTTGATGAAGTTAATTCAGAGAAAAAAATTAAAATGATCAATAACAAAACATGAAAAAGAAATTAAACAGTTCCATTTATTTAAAATTGTATTTGGGTCATTCTAATATTATTTGACCATTTAGCATTTAATCTTGTAAATCGAGTAAAAAAAAAAATTAACTTTTTGAAGAAAAAATTATCACAAATATTAATTTAGATGTCCTAGATAACAAACTTGAGCTTCGATAGTCAGCTTTCTACTATTAGTTTTCTTTTTTCTTTTTTTTTAACCATGACTTAATATGAACTTAGAGTTTATTAAACGAGGATGTTTTTCATCAAACAGTTTAAATAAACAAACTTTATTAGTATATTGGAAAAATATAATGGCTATGAATATAATAAAGATAAAAATAAACCATACATATATCAAGTCAACATGCGAAAAATTAAAAAAATAAATAAATTGTTTTATTTAATTAATTTAAAATAATTACAACATTTAAAATTAAAGCAATAATAACTTTTTAACAAAAGTTTAATGCTGTGATTATCATCATAGTGCCAAATTTTAATAAAATTATCCGTTTTCGATAAAGAGTCGTTTTGGTTTTGGTAGTTTTTTACTACAATAGTCTGTGGTACAGAACCCTTATTATCAAATTATTAACATCCACCTGAAACTTCGCGAATAACTTCATCTCATCGTAACCTACAACTATTTTATTTACGAAAACTCTTGGAATTGGGGCGTTTTGAATTTGGAGGGGGGCAAACTTTGTCTATTTAATTAGGTACTACAAGCTCGTATATACCGAATTGCTTTCAACTTGGATAGTATGATTGATCACAAAATCGAGAAAAAAATGTGGCTTGATAATTGTACCACGGATTATACCACTGTCTGTACCACGGACTATAATATCTGTTTAGGGTTGATCACCCTAAATTGGTGTTACTCCCCCCCCCCCTTCATGGGGTACATAAAAGACCAGTGAAGTTGGTAACACTGCAGCGACGGTGGCGCTGTATGCACCAAAAACTAGTAGTAGTAGGAGAAAAAATGGGCGACTGAAACCACACGGAGAAGTAGACGAACACTCTATCCTCTTCAAGACCACCTTTCTTGCTGTTCTACCATGGGAAGAGGCATGGAGTAGAACACCGAGACCTACTGGTCACATGGAGGTGAGAAGTGTAGCAGCCGGCCGACCACCGTACTTCAGCATCCAGCCACATCAAGTAAACGATTGTAGAACCATTATACGCCAAACCCCCAACTTCATATACTGCTAAACTATAATTATAATTAATTTCATACAGTCCACTTGTTCTTTCAAATACCCAACAAACATTTGTACCATATCATATTAAACATGACGGTACATCCCATTTCAATATCTATTAAGAAAATAAGGAATTGTTAAAAAAAAAAACCATAATGCTCTTATTTTTTAAATATTCTGGATCATAGAGACAGGGGTTATCGTGGGATTATAAAATTATCGTGGTCCCTTCGATGTAAAGACAAATAGATTAGCTACATCAGTTCAGAACCAGTGATAAAATTTATGAAGCAGATTGTACGATCCAAATATGTATTAGAGACTTCAAAGTACTAACAATGGCCGAATCTACAATTTGTAAGCTAGGTCTGACATTTGATTCATATTTATTGAGATATTCAGAATGTTATTGATTTCCTTCTGTTATCCGATGACTCTTTTCTTGTTGAACCCATTCCTTCATTGGCATGAAATATAAATAGACAGACAGAATCCTGAGGCGACCTAGATGGGCCAGAAGGATGCCTTGGAGAGGTATTTACTAGAAGGGATGACAATGGACAATCGACCGACCCTTTGTCTAGGACTGTCACCTGATGACGGCGGCAAACATAATAACGTAATCATTGTAAAAGGTTACCCAACACTCGGCACGCGGCTCCTGCATTTAATAACACCCTACCACTACCAACACAAACGAGGAGGGGAGGGGGAGGAGGACTTGCCCTCCCCACCGAGCAAGGAAGGAAATCAAGATTAAATGGTTATCGCTCAATATGGCAATTACATTGGCTCCCATAAACAGCTCTTCTGTTTGCGTCCAGTCCAATCACAAACCACTTCCCAGAGTGCCTCCTTCGGCTGTAGCCGTCATTATCGATATCTCTCGATTAAATAATAGCTTTGATGACGTATAGTGGAATTATCGAAAAAGATAAATGAGATTCAAATTTGCTATGAATATAAAGATTCTTTACATATGTTTTTAAATGTATTTCATGTTCACGAACCATAAAATAAAATTTAAATTCATTTAATAATGAATCAAACCATTAATTTTTAATAATTTGAAATATAAGTGGACAATTAATGCACCATTTTATTAACAAATCAATTTATGATTATAAAATGAAATATAAAATGCTTACTTCTAAAAAATTATATTAGGATCTTATATTCTATTCCCTTTCACTCCAGACACACAGGCAAAACTAGCAATAACAAATGGCCAAGTCTTTTCAATAAATGATCTCAACGTTCTAACATCTTGGATCGTTGAAAAGTGGTGGCGGGAGTGGCAAAACCAATGAGATAAAGTAAATTAAGAAAGGTCGAACAATATGGAAAACATCGAACTAGAAAAAATCAACAGCTATCACGAAGAGAAGATGTACTTCTTAGCCGCCTCAGGATTGGCCATTGTCGACTTACTCATGGATATCTGATGAAGAAGAACCGCCAACAGGAACATGAACTGTGGGTTTATTACCCAGAACAAATATTGAGACAGGACCCAGACACGACTTCACGATTTATTAAACTTTGAAAAACTATCGTCGTACACAATACAATTTAAAGTGACTAAAAATACAAGTGTAAATGACCCCCGTGGTCGAAACACTGAAATAAATAAATGAATAAATTTCATTTATCTAGTATTTTTCCTAAAAATATATAAAAGAGTTAATAATTATAGATAAATTGAACCAAGAATCTAT